AGGCTCTGTCTCAAAAAAAAAAAAACAAAAAACAAACAAAAACCCCCCCACACACTATTCAACATGTAAACAGTCCGCATCCCACCCCTGTGCAGGATGTGACAGGAAGGAAGGGGTAGTGAACATAGGTTTGTAGATAGACTCAGCCACTTTTCACGACCCAGGTACGTTAAGTTAGTAATGGCCCAGCAAACAGGTCTTGGAATCTAAGCCCCAGCACCGGCAGGAAGGGCACTTTTCCTAAACACACCCATGTGCCTGAGCCTACCTGCCTCTGGAAGTTCAGCAGCCTGAGGGCCTTGAGCTCAATGGTTGCTTTGGTTCGCAAATCCCCAGCCAGGGACCCAGGAAGGTTTTCAAGTTCCTGAATTCGGTGTGCAATGCGAGCCTGCAGCCTAGGTACAAAGATAGAGAAATGGGTGTAGAGAGAGCTGGTCTGCATGCACAGAGCCCACCAGGTCCTGGGTTTTAAGCTAGAACTGCAGAAGAATGAATCCTTCCTTTGAGGGAGGGTATCACTGTTCAGAAGACAGGAGATGCCCCAAAAGAGGATTCCAGACACAATGCAGAACAGAGAGAGAAGCAGCTGGAGAACCACATTCCTTAGGACTAGGCACTGGGAACACAACAGAAAAAATTTCCTGAAAAGCCATGGCTGGCTCATGACACTTCAGCGAAGTGAGTGGCCCCCAGTATCAGGCAGATGAAGGGTTCCTATCCCAGCCCTGGCAGAGATGAGACATGTGGCAGAATCTGCTTAGCCCTTGCTCCTCAGAGTAAGCCTCCAGTCTCAAAGTTACATGGGAAAACCTCCCTGCTCAGTCTTTCCACATATACTTACTGAGAACCTACTATATGCCAGAAACCATTTCAGGTGTGGGGCCTCAGCACTGAACAAGACTAGCAAGGCTGTCTGTCACTCTCATGGAGCTCTCAAACTCATTAGGAAGACAGGCCAGGAAGGTAGTAAAAAATTAAATATCAAGCTGGGCACAATGGCTCATGCCTATAATCCTAGTATACCGGGAAGCCAAGGCAAGAGCATTGCTTGAGCCAGGAGAGCAAGACCATCCTGAGCAAGAACAAGATCCCGTCTCTACATAAAGTAGAAAAAATCAGCTGGGTTTTGTGGCACACACCTATAGTCCCAGGTACTTGGGGTGAGAGCAAGATCATACTTCCAAAAAAAAAATTAAATAGCTACTGTAATTCCAGAGAGTAATAGTAAGTGTTTTAAGGAAGGGACTGGAGGTGACAGGAAAAGGTAACTCAGCAATGAGGCCTGAATGACAAGAAGGAGTCACACATAGCTTGTGCAAAGGTCCTGAGGCAAGGATGAGCCTACTTTATTAAACAGAAACAAGTGAGATAGGTTAGGACAAAGTGTTGAGCAAGGCTGAACATAAAGAAACATTTATGTTGCAGATAATGGGAAAATAAAGGCAGGTTTATAACCCAGGAATAGATCTGATGTAAGTTAATTCTAAGAAGAGACTTCAAGACTGCCCTATGGGAAATAGACCACACAAGCAAAGGTGGGAGCAAAGATGAGGAGGGAGGTAGAGACTAGGTGGCAGTGGCAACTGGGATGGGGGGGGGGGCTCAGTTTCCAGGGACAGGAGGAGAGGAGCTGAGAGGCTTCTCAAAGGGGCTGTAGGTTTCGTGCCCAACCAAAGTGGATGGTGGGTACATGGAACAGAGACAAAAGGAGAAAGTAAGAAATTCAAGGACATGTGGAAAGGCCAGGCAGAGGAAGGTGTGGAAATCAGGGGAAAGAGGTGAGAGCTCCAGGGCATGTCACAGCTACAGACACACTTTGGAAACAGTCATTCAGCAGAGATTCACAGATGCATTCACGGATACAAAAGTGCTACCCCCATGGAGCTTATGTCTGCTTACCAAGAGAGGGGGGACCTGAATGCAAAATTCCAAACACAATGAGAAATTAGAAGGGGACCAGGTGAGGTGGCTCACCCCTCCAATACTAGCACTTTGGGAGGCCAAGGAGGGTGGGAGTTCGAAAGCAGCATGAGCAAGAGCGAGACCCCATCTCTACTAAAAATAGAAAAATTAGCTGGGCCTTGTGGTGGGAGCCTATAGTCCCAGCTACTGGGGAGGCTGAGGCAAGAAGATGGCTTGAGACTAAGAGTTTGAGATTGTTGTGAGCTATGACACCATAGCACTCTACCCTGGGTGACAGAATGAGACTGTCTCAAAAAAAAAGGGGGGGGGGCAAGAGAGAGAGAAATTAAAAGGGGGAAGTGTATATTGCACTTATTATTAAAAGGGAGCAAACTCTGGGGGACCCCACAGTTGAGTGGGGGTAGAGTGGTAAGGACCTACTATGTATCATGCATCTCACAGTACCTTGGCAATGGCAGCCACCAACGTTGGATAGGAATTACAACAAAGCTTGCTAGATTGTTTTTTTGAATGCTGATAAACCCAAGGTTGGAGAGCGCCCTCCATTTCTATGAATATGGGCACTTTCATTCCAACCCATATCCCTTCAATCTCTACAGAGGACAGTTTTACAGAATCTACGAAATTTCCCAGTGTACAACCCCTGGAACCCAACAGTGACACTTTCAAGAGTTGACATGTGCACAAAGGTGTGTGTAATCAGAGCTCTACAAGTGTATTTACCATGGCATCATCTTAATTCACAGAATTTCTCCCACCAGGTGCACAGCAAACCCAGGCAGAGGATGGAGACTTCCAAGTGGAGCTGGACAGGGGTTCCCTCACCTGTACTCCCGCTCTTGAAGGATCTCTACAGGGTCAAGGCCCCGTGGCTTCTGGATGGGGGTGATTCGACTCTGCTTCTGGTGCAGTGGCACCATGGGGGCGGGCTGGGCCGGCTGCCCTGGAGACTGTGTCTGGGGTGGCATCACGGGTGAGGCAGCAGGCGGGACAGCAGGGGGAGCAGGTGAAGGGCGACCCGTGGGCTGCGGGGGGATCAGCTTCTGAGGGGTGCTGGTAGGGGCAGCTGCATTTGCCATGGGTCCTGGTGGGAGGCAAGAGGGAGGGCCTGTGTTGCACTGAGGCCCATTCCAGGGTGGAAATGAAACACTTCAGAAACCCAGGTGCAGGGCGGCGCCTGTGGCTCAGTGGGTAAGGGTGCCTGCTCCATATACCGAGGGTGGCAGGTTCAAACCTGGCCCCAGACAAACTGCAACCAAAAAGGGTGCCTGCTCCATATACCGAGGGTGGCAGGTTCAAACCTGGCCCCAGACAAACTGCAACCAAAAAAACGGCTAGGTGGTGTAGCTGGCGCCTGTAGTCCCAGCTACTCAGGAAGCTGAGGCAAAAAAATCGCCTAAGCCCATGAGCCCATGAGTTGGAGGTTGCTGTGAGCTGTGATGCCACGGCACTCTACCAAGGGCAATAAAGTGAGACTCTGTCTCTTAAAAAAAAAAAAAAAAGAAACCAGGTGCAGTGGCTCATGCCTGTAATCCTAGGACTCTAGAAGGCCGAGGTGCAAGACCACTTGAGCTCAGAAGTTGGAGACCAGCCTGAGAAAGAGCAAGACCCCATCTCTACTAAAAATAAAACAAGCTGAGCCTTGTGGCAGGCACCTGTAGTCCCAGCTACTTGGGAGGCTGAGACAAGAAGATCACTTGAGCCTAGTAGTTTGAGGTTGCTGCAAGCTATGACTCCACGGCACTCTACCCAGGGTAAAAAAAAGAAAAAAAGAAAAAGAAAACCCTACAAGGATCCTCTATGTCCTGTAGACAAACTCCTCCCCTCCCACATCTCAGGCGCCTGCCACACTATCTCATTCAGGGGTCTTCTGCCTCAGGGCTTGTACCTGCTGGAAATCTCAGTCTCGGGCCCACCACCCACTCTCTCCACTGAGCCAAGTCACCCGCCTCAAGGAGATGCTCATCCCCATGCTGACCCTGGGCTTTGTCCTCCTGTGCTGGGGTCCACAGGGCATATTTTCCTGTCCTCTTCTCCTACAGTTCCAACTGAAGCAACTCACTCTCCAATACCCATCGCTAAATCACAGGCTCCAAGAAGGCAAAAATGAGTCCCTTCATCCATGGCCTGGACCCAGACAGGATCCTGAAACACTGAACAAATACATTTACAGAGGGCCAGGGACTGAGTGAAGGCCATCTGAGGAGCCCTGTGAACTACCAGGGACAGGAAAGACCAAAAGAGGACCACAGGAAAAGTACAGGCTTTGATTCAGTTGACTGTTCCTTTCTCTTGAGTGGGCTCTTCTCAAAGACTACACAGCCCAAATCACAATGAGGAGTCACAGCACAGATGCAAGACTGAGAGGGAAAGGGACTTACCTTCAGGCCAGGGCTTGGGAGGCCCTCCCGGGGGCTGACCTGGCATCCCGGGGGGTACGCCTGAGGGTCCAGGGGGAGGCATGTTGGGCCCTCCGATGCCTACCAACAGGGAGAAAGAATAAAATGCATGCTGTGTTTATACCTGCACCTGCCCATGGGCAGCCCCAGCTCTAGGGGACACAAACTCATCGACAGACTCCTGGGTATGGCTCTAGGGTGTAGAGAAGAGCTGGAGAAACAGCATTTATCAGGACCACAATCTGCCTCCCTGGGCAGCTAAAGTGCTGGGCAAGCCCCATGCAATCCCACAGAGGGGACATGGGCAAGCAGAACTTACCATGAGGCCTGCTATAATTTGGAGGTGCTGGTCCTGGGCCAGGGCCGGGGCCCGGGCCGGGGCCAGGGCCAGGGCCAGGTCCCGTGGTGGACACTGAGGGTGGAGGTAGCGCTGGCATCTGCTGCTGCATCCCGGGCATCGGCCGCTTTCCTTGCACGGCCATCTGCAGGTGGTCAGGGAGTGGCTGCCCCCTGGCCAGCATCTTGTAGGCCATGATCTGAGCTCTGAGCTGGTGCAGCTGGTTCTGGTTAAATGGGGTCGGGCCCCGGTTTTGCTGCCCCAAGGCCTGGGGGTCGGTGCCATCCAATGGCGCTCCTCCTGGCCCAGATGACATCTGGGGGCCCGAGGACGGGCCGCTGGCTGGAACTGGACTAGAGGCATGCTCAGAGCCACCTAGGGGTGAGGGGTAACCTGCAGAGAAAGGCCAGCCCATTGGTCAAATCAACAGCACACATCTGTGATTTTGAAGAGAGAGATGGTAACCTTTCCTGATATACTTACACTAGCTCTACCCTGACTTCACTCTCGAGAGTCAAATAAGAAGAACTCAGAGGGCACACACTCAGGTCGCCTTGGTGGCTTGTAGGGTCCATCTGGCTGGTGCTGCCCACATCTCAGTAAGGTGCCACAGGTTAATGCTGAGTGTCAATACATGAAATCCCGGTTCCCTCCAGGCCGGCCCTCCTCCCTACACACAAGCAGCATGCACGTCCTCAAGTAGGGCAAGCTTAACCCACTCATTTCCACTCCCTATGAAGCTCTTGCACTTCCTGGCCCTGGTGACAGGAAGGGCCTGGCAACTCATCTACCCCACACTTCTCAACTATCTGTACAGAAGAGACACATGCAGGGCTATGCTTGTTAAGGCAGTTTCGGGTCCCAGGAATGTATATTTCTAGTCAACTCCAGGGGACACCAGGGCTCCTGGCCTGCAGACCCCACCCTACCAAACCTGGTCTATGTTCACTCTTCTTGGGCTGCCTAAGCGAAAAGGGTCAGAAAAGAGCACACACCAAACTCAGCAGAGACAGCTCTCTGTGGTGCAGCTGCCCACTTGGCCCAAATGTCCTAGGTCCTCCCTGAATCAATCTGTGGGAGGTCCGAAGAGGAAAACAGTCCTAGGACCCTCAGGGTACGGCAGACACAAGTCAAGAAGGGAGACAAAACTGTACCTTGGGAGTGCTGGTCCATGGGGCTGGGTGGGGGCCCCATGCCTGCGTGGCCCCCAGACCTCATGCCCATGCCTTTCATCTGATTGTAGCGTGGGTCATCCGGCATGCCCTTCTCGTGCATCGACTCCAATGGCTAGGGCAGAGACAAGGGCAAGGCAGAGTCAACAAGTAGGAAGAGGAGGCAGCACAGCAAAACACTGCTGAAGAAGTTCGATGTCACTAAGAACACCCACCCACCCCAAAGCAACTACTAAATCACCAACATGACCATGTAGCTAGGTTCCAAGGCATGGCCCTCACACCTACTTAAATGTCAAGGCATATGCATGAAATAAATGCCACCCTTGAGCAGTGCCTGTGGCTCAGTGAGTAGGCACTGGCCCCATATACTGACAGTGGCAGGTTCAAACCCACCCAAACTGCAACAAAAAATAGCTGGGCGTTGTAGCAAGTTCCTGTAGTCTCAGCTACTCAGGAGGCAGAGGCAAGAGGATTGCCTAAGCCCAAGAGCTGGAGGTTGCTGTGAGCTGTGATGCCACAGTACTCTACTGAAGGCGACAAAGTGAGACTCTGTCTCTAAAAAAAATAAATAAATGCCACCCAGTGGAAGGTGACCACCCAGTAGACACTGGTCCAAAGACAGAGGCACAGCTGGACCAGAAACCTGGGAGGAAGGAGCACACGTCAAAGGACAGCCAAAATCCCACAAGTAAAGGACACACATGACAGCTCCTTGTCAGAGAACAGGTGTAGCAGGAACCCTAGACTCCCTGCTCAGCCTTACCAGGAGAATGACCACAAATCTGAGGATCAAGGACCCTCTTCCTGGGAGACTATAAATCAATGTGGCCTGTTCTAGCTCTTAGTCCAAGCAGCCCCTGGCCTCCAGACCACAGTCCCCCAGGGCCCTGGAGCACCCCGTGAGCTACAAAGGTGAGCTGGACATAAAGGAGGCCATATGCATTCAGTCTTCTTTTTTCTTTTTTTTAAGAGAGAGTCTAACTTTATCGCTGTCAGTATAGGGCCGTGGCATCACAGCTCACAGCAACCTCCAACTCCTGGGCTTAGGCAATTTTCTTGCCTCAGCCTCCCGAGTAGCTGGGACTACAGGCACCTGCCCCAGTGCCCAGCTATTTTTTGTTGCTGTTTGGCCGAAGCCAGGTTCGAACCCGCCACCTTCAGTATATGGGGCCAGCAGCCTATCCCCTGGCCACAGGTGCCGCCCACATTCAGCCTTCTTTTAGGGGCTTGAACATTTTTCTTCATTGATGAAAGAAAAGTTCAGATCCATGTCCTCAAATTTCCCATGCAGATCAAGTGAGGGACAGATTAGGATGGCTGGTGGCTGGCTGTAGAGGCCAGGATGTATTACTCACTACTCCTGGCTCAGGAGTAGATTATGTAACTACAGTGGGCTAGGGGTCCTCCATGCCTGACCTCTGTGTTCATAGCAGTGGGCCCTGGAATTGGGGTCTGCACCAAACCAGGTCACGTCTGTCTAAAGGGCTTTCCTCTCTGGCTCTTGGTCCAGAGGCTACCAATAATGGGGCAGGGATGAGGGCAGCAAGGAACCTGGCCCACAGCAAGAGACATAGATGCAGGGGCATAGGGCTCCCTACCTTGTGCATTTGGTGCATGTTGTCCTGAGGGTACCCTCCAGGCCCCTGGGATGGGATAGGGTGTCCTGCTGAGGGTGGCCCAGGGCTGGGCCCCATCATGCTGTGGGCAGAGCCTGGTGAGGGACCTGGGCTAGGGCCCAGCATGGCTCCAGGTGAGGGACCTGGGCCCGGGGAAGGTCCTGGCCGAGGAGTTCCGCCCAGGGGTGGGTCTGGAGTGGACATCTTCACAGGAGCTGTGGACAGTGGTCTCCTGCTGAAAGGAAGTCCTGGTCAGTCTGGGCCTTGTGGCCAATAGCCAGGCACCTCAGAGACAGCAAAGGAAGACCACACAGTCACATCAAATTCATGACTCCACCAACCAGGAGTTAGGGCCTTTGACCACTGCCACCCAAATCTTTTCTCTGTGATTGTTCTCAGAGGAAATAATCCATCACAGGCATGCGAAAGCAGATCAGAGTCCATACAGAAGGGGGCAACAAAGATAAAACAGGTGACACTGCCTTACCAGGGCCTTTAACTTCTCTTGTCATCTTTCTGATCACAACAAAGAAGGCATCTCAGGTAGGTGCCAGTCTACCCTTTGCATCCCTCCAATATATGCTGATCTTCTTGTCTATCAAAAAGGGAGAGCAGGCAGGGTACAGGGGCTCAAGCCTATAATCCCAGCACTCTGGGAGGCTAAGGCAGGAGGATCACTTGAGCCCAGAAGTTTCAGTTTGATGTGAGCTAGACGGATACCACAGCACTCTAGCCCAGGTGACACACAGACTCTGTCTCAAAATACAAAAACAAAAATGGAAGCCAGGCATGGTAGCTCACACCTGTAATCCTACCATTCTGGGAGGCCAAGGTGGTTAGATTGCTTGAGATCAAGAGTTCAAGACCAGTCTGAACAAGAACAAGACCTCATCTCTACTAAAAATGGGAAAGAAAACAAAATTAGCCAGGCATTGGGAACTCCATAAATACAATAATTATAAACATTTATGTCAAGTGACACTGGTTTTCCATTGAAGGCAGTGAAACCCAAGTTTCCTTTTAAAATAAATAAACCAGGCCAGGCACAGTAGTTCACACCTGTAAATCCAACTCTTGGAGAGACTGAGGTGGGAGGATCACTTAAATCCAGGAGTTTGAGACCAGAATGAACAATACAGTGAGAGTCCATTTCTATTTTTTTAAAAAAAGGTAAAACAAAACAAAATAAAATAAAGGGATTTATTTTTTATTTTATTTTTTTGAGACAGTCTCACTATGTCACCCCTTGGTAGAGTTCTATGGCGTCACAGCTCACAGCAACCTCAAACTGTTGGGCTTAAGTGATTCTCTTACCTCAGCCTCCCATGTAGCTCAGACTACAGGCACCCGCCACAACTCCAGCCTATTTTTTTTGTTGTTATTGTTGTAATTGCCATTGTGGTTTAGCAGGACTGGGCCAGGTTCAAACCCACCAGCCCAAGTGTATGAGGCCAGTGCCCTAACCACTGTCCTACGGGCACCAAGCTATATTTAAATTTAAAAAGTAACATGATTTAAAGAAAAATATGACACAAACAATGGTACTCTGGTATCTCAAATACTTCAACAAGGATACTGAAATATCTAATGTTTGATGAATATTGCTACAAAGTAAAAAACTGATACCCAGAACTATGACCCAGAACTTCTAATATCCAAAAATTGGCTTAATTTTTCGGCATGCACTATGGTAGAGGTAAAAGAAAATAAATTAAAAAAATTAGCTGGCTCGGCGCCTGTGGCTCAAGTGGCTAAGGCGCCAGCCACGTACACCTGAGCTGGTGAGTTCGAATCCAGTCTGGGCCCGCCAAACAATGACGGTTGCAACCAAAAAACAGCCAGGCATTGTGGCGGGCGCCTATAATCCCAGCTACTTGAGAGGTGGAGGCAGGAGACTCACTTGAGCCCAGGAGTTGGAGGTTGCTGTGAGCTGTGATGCCACAGCACTTTACCCAGGGCAACAGCTTGAGGCTCTGTCTCAAAAAAGAAAGAAAGAAAGAAAGAAAATTAGCTTAAAAAATACATAATTATGGGGAAGCGCCTGTGGCTTAGTGGGTAGTGCTCCGGCCCCAGCCAAACTGCAACAAAAAAATAGCCTGGCATTGTGGCAGGTGCCTGTAGTCCTAGCTACTCAGGAGGCTAAGGTAAGAGAATCACCTAAGCCTGGGAGTTGGATGTTGCTGTGAGCTGTGTGATGCCTCAGCACTCTACTAAGGGTAATAAAGTAAGACTCTGTCTCCACAAAAAAAATAAATAAATAAACTATAAATATATATATAAATAAAAATAATGTTAGTAAATTATACTTGCCATAAGTCCATGGACTGATAGGTTTTACAAATGCTTTCTATGGTTAAGTGTTCGCATTTTAGGTTACCCTTGTTCTATAGTACATGGATAGTTATATGGTCTGCTATGGTTATGAATGTTTGTGTCCCTCCTCCCCTAAAATTCACAGTAAAGCCAGGTATGATGGCTTACACCTGTAACCTTAGCTGAGGCAAAAGAATCACTTGAGCTCAGAAGTTTAAGACCAGCCTGAGCCAGAGTAAGATCTGTCTCTATAAAATATAGAAAAATTGGGTCAGGCTTGGTGACTCACACCTGTAATCCTAGCACTCTGGGAGGCATAGGCAGGTGGATTGCTTGAGCTCAGAAGCTCAAGACCAGCCTGAGCCAGAGCCACAGCCCATCTCTAAACATAGCCAAGTATTATGGTAGGCACCTATAGTCCCAGCTACTCAGGAGGCTGAGGCAAGAGAATCACTTGAGCCCAAGAATCTGAAGTTGCTGAGAGCTATGAGGCCATGGCACTCTACCAAGGGCGACAAAGACTCTGTCCCCCACTCGACCAAAAAAAAAAATTAGCCAGGTGTGGTGGTGTGTTCCTGTAGTCCTAGCTACTCAGGAGGCGGAGGCAGGAGGATCACTTGAGGCCAGGAGTTGGAGGCTGCTGTGAGCTATGATGCCATAGCACTCTAACTTGAGCAAACAGAGTGAGACCCTGTCTCAAAAAGAAAAAAATTAATGTGTTAAAAACCTAATTCCTGGGTAGTGCCTGCGGCTCAAAGGAGTAGGGCAACGGCCCAATATGCCAGAGGTGGTGGGTTCAAACCCAGCCCCAGCCAAAGACTGCAAAAAAAACCCACCTAATTCCCAACATCATGAAATTAGGAGGCAGGGCCTTTGGGAGATGACTGGGTGGCCTTAATGAATGGGATTAATGCCCAAGACCCTCACCCTTTTTCCACAGAAAGACACAAGAAAAGATGCTGTCTACAGAGAAGCAGACCCACAAGGACACTACTAGTACCCCGATCTTGGGACTCCCCAGACTCCAGAACTCAAGGAAAAAATGAACATTGTTTATAAGCCACCAGTCAAAGGTAATTTGTTACAGCAGCCCAAATGGACTAGAACTGGCCTTAGATGAAATTCTCTTTAATAACCTCTCCTGATCATGAAGTGATATGCCTTCACTGCTGATATCTAGAAAACACAAAAAGAATACAGCAACTTAAAATCATCAAAACCCCAGGGTAGCGCCTGTGGCTCACTGAGTAGGGCGCCAGCCCCATGTACCAAGGATGGTGGGTTCGAACCTGGCCCCAGCCAAACTGTAACAAAAAAATAGTCAGACATGGGTGGTGCCTGTGGCTCAGTGAGTACAACACCAGCCCAATATACCGAGGGTGGTAGGTTCAAACCCAGCTCCAGCCAAACTACAACAACAAAAAAATTAGCCAGGCATTGTATTGGGCGCTTGTAGTCCCAGCTACTTGGGAGGCTGAGGCAAGAGAATCAACTAAGTCCAAGGAGTTGGAAGTTGCTGTAAGCTGTGACACCACAGCACTCTACTGAGGGTTAATAAGTGAAACTCTATCTCAAAACAACAACAACAAAAAAAAATAGCCAGACATTGTGGTGGGTGTCTGTAGTTCCAGCCACTCAGGAGGCTGAGGCAAGAGAATTGCCTAAGCCCAGGAGCTGGAGGTTGCTGTGAGCTGTGATGCCACGGAACCCTATCGAGGGCAATAAAGTGAGACTCTGCCTCAAAAAAAAAAAAAAATCAAAAAAAAAAAATCATCCAAACCCCATCAGTCATAGAGGCTAAGCACTTACCACCTATGCAGAGGGCAAGAAGAAACTTTGGTCTCTCATCCCCTCCCAGCAGGGTGAGAGGTCTATGGGAGAAAAGGCTAGAAGGCTCCCAAGGCCCTCAGAATGGAGCAGGGTGGCCTGGCCAGGTGCCCAGCCTTGCAGGGCAGAGAGCCCTGGTGAAGCAGCTGGGACCCCACCTCCATTCTAGATTATACTACATGTAGAAAGATGCACATTCCATGGAATTTCTCAGCACACCCTAGGCAAGCATTCCTTCATATAATCTTACTATGCCTGTTTTTATCATTTAGTAGTCTTTGACACATAATGGCTCCACTGTGCTTCCTGACCCCAATGTGCCCTGTATTTTTTAATAGCCCCTCTCTTATTGGGCATGTCACAAATCTGAGATTTGTTTCTGTTGCCTTTTGAAATGAATCCCTTTGCCCCTAAACTTCCCTGTGTACTTTTGGTTGTAAGGATAAATTCTACAGGAAGGAGGCATATCTGATCCTTTTAGAAAAAATATTTTTTAGGTGGTGCCTGTGGCTCAGTGAGTATGACACTGGTCCCATATACTGAGGGTAGTGGGTACGAACCCAGCCCCAGCCAAAACTCCAACAAAAAATAGCCGGGCATTGTGGCAGGTGCCTATAGTCCCAGCTACTCAGGAGGCTGAGGCAGGAGAATCACCTAAGCCCAAGAGCTGAAGGTTGCTGTGAGCTGTGACACCACCGCACTCTACCGAGGGCAACAAAATGAGACTCTGTCTCCAAAAAAAAAAAAAAAAAGAATAAAGAAAAAATATTTTTTTTTTAATTTGAAAAGTAGGGGCATTTTTGGCTTGGTGCCTGTGGCTCAAGCAGCTAAGGCACCCAGCCACATACACCTGAGCTGGCAGGTTCGAATCCAGCCTGGGGCCCACTAAACAACAATGACAGGTGCAACCAAAAAATAGCCAGGCATTGTGGCAGGCACCTATAATCCCAGCTACTTGGGAGGGGGAGGTAGGAGAATCACTTGAGCCCAGGAGTTGGTGGTTGCTATGAGCTGTGACATGGGCGGTGCCTGTAGTAGAGTGCCACAGCCTGTATTGCACTCTACCCAGGGCGACAGCTTGAGGCTCTGTCTCAA